GAAACCGCGGTAGAAATACCATCTCTAAAATCGTAGTCTGTTGAATGCCACCTGGAAATATGTGCTGCTGTGTACAATACAGGTAAATCTCATGTAGCGGTAATAGCTGTATAGAGACCAGGTACAGGAGTTTTGTAGACTTTTGAAAAAAATTTAACTCTTGCTCTAAGTTATACTTTGAATAAATATAAACATGTAATTCTATTAGGCGAATTTAATGTCAGATATGAATTAGCAGGATCGCTTGAGACTCAAATTTTTAAAGACATCTTTGATTGTTTCAACATTCAATTAGCAATCAAAAAACTAACTTGTATTTTCACAAACATCAATAGCCAAACTTCTATCTCATTAATAAACTATTTAACTACGAATATTCCTTCAGATCGCTATGAAGCCTCTGTGCTAAATTGTAATCTTGGGGATCATCTGGCGCATCTTCTTACACTAAAAAAATTTTCTGCAGTAAAAAGTAGTCCGAAAACCAAAGCGAATATCACACTTCTCACCTAATACAGTGGGCCTCAAATAAAACTAAAAAACATTAACGAACGTTTAGGAAAACTTAACAAAAAAAAACTGAAAGTAAACAGATTGTAGTCGATAATAAGATAATATGAAACAAAATCGAAATGAGTAACACTTTTACAGATTACTTTTCTAATATATGCAATAAAAAACTTGCTGACACTTTTAGTCAGAACATGCTGCTACCTTGTACTCATTCAGTATCATCCATCAAATTCTATTTTCGTTCCATATATTACAGAAAGTGATATAATGAAAACAATAAATTCGCTGAAGACCAAATCGAGTTGTGGCATAGAGGAAGTTCCTCCAAAAGTTCTCAAATCAATTGCTCCTATCATACTCACACCTTTGACTTTGCATCATAAACTTTTCCTTGAACAGTGGAATATTCCATAATCTATTAAAAACAGCTATTGTTTAACCTCTGCATAAAAAAGGGTGTTATGAAAAATATTGAAAATTATAGACAAATATCACTCCTGTCAGAGTTCTCAGAGGTTACTGAGCAAACAGTGTATACAATTATCAATGAATTTGCAGTGAAATTTAATTTGCTATCTGATGCTCAGAATGGATTTAGACAAAATAGATCTGTAGAGACAGTAATCTCTGACCTTTTGTATTATGTTTATTCGCAATTAGATGAAGGCAACTATGTAGATGTTCGATCTATCTAAGGCACCTGGATAAAAATATCATTCTAGAAAAATTAGAATTGCTAGGTTTGAGAGGTCATATATTGAAATGGTTTAAGTCTTACTTGTCTAATAGAAATATAATTGTGAAGATTGATAATGTGTTATCAGATAAATTCCCTGTAAATCTGGAAGTTCCCCATGGGTCCGTATTAGGTCCTCTAATAGTTCTACTTTTTGTAAATGACTTGTCAGGCTTCATTTCAAGGGGAAAAGTTACAATGTTTGCTGATGATACCACGATAACTATATCTGGAAGTTCTGTGGATGAACTACATACAAACATCCTAGTTGTATTTGAAGAAATGGAAGTTTGGTGTCAAAGAAACAAGTTGATCCTAAATAAAAACAAAACAACCGCAATCAACTTTCGTATTAGAAAACCCGTACACCCAACTACTAAGACAACATTAAATGTAGAGCTTGGTTTACAGTTAGTGGATAGGGTGAAACTCCTTGGTATCTGGTTAGATGCAGATCTCTCCTTCAGCACCCAAACTGAAAATATGTGCCTGAATTTAAATAAAGGCTATTATGCCATATCTCATATGAAGCATTTAGATAAAAAGAGCCTATTATCACTATACTATGCTCTCATATACAGTCATTTATCTTTATAACATCCTATGCTGGAAGTTGGGGTAGAGCTACCAGCATCAACAGAGCTTTCGTATCACAAAAACAAATAATTAGATTGGTGTTCAACCTTAGTTTTGGCGAAAGTTGCAAAAACGTATTTATTCAAAACGAGCTCTTGACAGTTCCATGTATTTATGTATATAGGTGTGTTAACTATGTAAAACGAAACATCAACGATTTCAGCATATAAAATGAACATCATACCTATAAGGCCAGAAATTCCATTTTGAAAGCAAATCGTTTTAGAACTATGACATATACAAAATCACCCCAGTTGAACTATCATTGTACAATACTCTACCTCGAGATCTGCGAGATATAGAGAGCTACATGAAATTTAAAAATAAGATTTTAAGCTTTTCGTCTAGTTTTGACCTTGGTCTTGCTGAATGAACTTGTATTGTACTAGTTTATCTAGTTTTATTTAAAGTGTGGTGTAACAAACTCTAAAAACTCACATTTATTGTGATATTTATATTACTTTTCTTTTAACATGCCATGTGAATTTGGCTAAATATACTACTATACATAAAAACCTTGAATACAAGTGTTTTTATTTTATTTTATTATATTTTTGTATATTCTGGGTGTCAAGTTTTTTCAAAATGTACATCAACTTTATTTTTTAGGTAGCAAACATTTCGGTCCAAAAAAACAACATATAAACCAGCAATTATATTACATAAAGTGAAAATTAACAATTTTAGACTACAAAATAACAATGAAGTAACCTTAACAAAAGTAATAACAATTAATAGGTGTATAATTGTTCTTTGTTCTCATTTGTTATCGTTTATAGAAGTTATATTATTATTTGTCTTGATGTTACTTGCTCTACTTTATTGTTATTTTGTAGTCTAAGATTGTTATTATTATAGGTTTTTAATTTTTTGTAATATAATAGTTGGAAAAACGTTAATGATGCAGTACGCAATGTAAAAATTCTGACTTCTAGTATGTATGCATCTATTCTCAAGTTTTTTATCACTAACTTATAGAAAATACACATATTCTTCAACCTGCTGTAGTATTGGAATCTTTTGTTCGAATATAGGATTAACGTATATCAAATTAAGGAAAAATTAAATATATAGGAAATGACGTAAAAATACATAGGGTGTTAAAAATAAGTGTATATTTGATGAGGTGAAATTTGAAAAAATACAGTAACACGTTAAGTGAACTCGAAAAATATTTGTTGTTATAAATGTTTCCAGTCTTAGCAATGTGCCATTTTGAGACTAACTGAAGTTGACCAAAAATTAGCGTCCATGTAACCATTGTTACCATTGGTAACAGTTGAAAATCTTGAAAATAAATGTGTGTGTGAAATAATTTCATTTATATGTTTACCAACAGCAATATGTAATAGTACTTCGGTAAATAGCAAATTAGCGGCAAGAAAATAATGCGAACGCGATGAAGCTGTCTCGCCTCGACTTGGTTGTCGGTTGTTACCATTTTCGTTTATGGATACACTTGGTAGTCCGTCGGGACCGTCGGTGTCGTGTCTGATCGAGGTCGCCAGAGTGCGTGGGCTGCTGCGAGTATTATTTGGGCTTGTTACCACTTTTTGTTTTGGTTACTGACTTCTCTCTCGTAAGTAGCCGTTTTGGTTACCGGCTGTAGTGTGCATGCAATTAAACAAATGAATGTCGCTGCGATCAACTACTTAAAAAGTCATTCTCCTTACATAATTTTGAAGAAAAAAAGCAGATCATTGAAAATGAAGACCAACACCTATTTTAGGTAATTTTAAAAAGGAATAAAAAAAAGTAGTTCGATATTTTAAAATAAGTTGGTATAGTGAAAACTCTTGGTTATGTGGCTGCAAGAAAAACAGATTGTATTGTTGGCCATGTCTTCTGTTTTCTACAGAAAAAATGGGTGGACCAGCAGCGGAGTCAACGATTTAAATAGTCTTAGGGTTCTAAATAGGAGACATGAAATTTCTCCATTACATGTGCGATGTGTAGCCAATTTGATTCAGTTTGGCAAAACAAGAATCGAAAGTTGTCTTAATCAAGCTTTTAGATAGCCCTTCCATAGGTGCCGTATGTTTTTTGGCCAAACAAGAATTACCATTTCGGGTCATTTTGAAGGGCATGACTCTGACAATAGTGGAAATTACAGAGAAATTGTTAACATTAATTGCCAAAAAATACCAAAATTTTTCCGATCATCTAGAAACGTCTACTATTATTTCGGAAGGCTTAGATTAGTCATAGCATAAGGCGATGAGGTATATCAAGTGCCCCAGACGCCCAGTCCAGCAATGTTTAACTTGATTTGAAAAAGGTTTAAATAAAATACCTAAAATAAGCAAAAACTTATATTTGGTAGGGTCAAAATAAACTTTTTTTAATAAGATCTTTCACATCTGGTTTTGGTAACAGTTTAGGAAAAGTCACGCGTCGCCACTGAGCAAACCCCAATATATCTCAAAAATGGAGCTTAAAATGTTCATACATCTGATGACAAAAAATATCCCAAATTGCTATTAAAAAAAGAATCATTTGTTTGCAACATTTTTTCTGTGTATGCATACTGGGTGGTTTCTGAGATAAGGTATAAAGTTTTATATATACAATGGCGCTGGATGAGCTGCAGTAATGCTAATATCACAGTCCTGAAAATCCTATGTGTATCTAACAGAGACTGTTCCCTTACCGTGACTGACTGAGCACTTGACAACCCAGCAGGCCAGCACCTGTCAGATCTAAATGTAATCTATGACTTTTAGCATGTCACTGTCAGATGTAGGTATTTTCCTCCTTATAAGAATGCAAAACTAGTGCTCCAGCAGCCAGACAAAAATATTTATAGGCCAAGATATAGCCACTTGATTCAAATTAATGTAGTTCATATCATTGTCCATTCAGGAGACAGGACCTTGAACTAGATTTGACTGTCGGCAGCTTGTCGCAAATATGTTTACATAAGTAGATTTTAGGCATAGTTCTGACTGACTTCTCAATCAGAAATACCTGTTGAGAATGGTGTACTGCTATCAGCAAAGTTGTCACATTACCACGGAGATGCCTTTACCATGAGAAGCAGTACTTATAGCAACATAAATATGTTTTCACTTGACAGACCAAGGAGAATAAATACATTATAGATAAATCAACCTACCCTGCCAGTCCATGTATGTGAACCATGAAGAGAAATTCTGTGTTGAATGTACAGGCATAGAGAACAAAATAAAATGCTGTAGTTAGAATGGCGACGCCAAAATTAACAATTGCAAAAAAGGTTAACATCTCCATTTGTCCCCACAAAGGTTCAATCAGTTTTCCACAGAGACCAACAGTCACTATATCCACCAACACTTCCCAAAAATGAATCTCCAAGAAACAGAATGTAAATGTGGTCCAAAGCCAAAATGATGGTGGAGCAAGATAGCCTGGTGTTACAGAAATCACACGTACCTGTCGACAAAATATATAAAATATAAATTCTTGGGCAACTAAGATAATGGGTATAAAAGAATGTATCCACAATCGAACCTCACCATTGCGATACCAGAAACTAAGAATATGAGTTGGGTTAAATGAAGAGAATGTTGCGTAAAGCCGTTTTTGAATTTTTCCTTGTGTTAAATTAGAATGGGATTTGAAAACAATTTTCACATCGTTACTAGTGTAAGTCATGAAATTATCAGACATTCATTTGTTTCATAGTATCATCAGCCAAGTTTGAATGACACAGGTATATAATTCATTTCCAATGTTAATGATGTACATAACAGGTTACATATTGATTTTATAAAACCTCAAATATTTTACATAATCTCCGAATAACTTTCCTTAATTCATCTAATGAATAACAATACCTTTTTAGTTTTATTTAAGGATAATTAAGAAACATAATATTTTCTAGAAGAATTAGGAGCATACAAGAGCTTCACTGAAGTTACAGGCTATTATTATTCCTTATCCACCATATTTAAACTACATGGATGCATACACCCTGTATCCTATTCAGAACAAACATTGGTAATATGATAATGTGTAATTCATTTTTTAATTCCTTCTCAAATGATGGATTTAAAAACGTTTTTACACAAAATTCATTTTCTTTCTGTGTAACCTTCTTAATACCATTTTCTTAGTTACATAAATATACAATAGAATTTTACCCCTACTTAACCAACCTAGAAGTGGTGAGGATAAAATTTGAAAGGCCCCATATATGTTGATATGGATTAAAACTAGTTGTGTGCAATGTAGTAATGACATTCTTATGTGAAAGGCTCATATATCTCAATATGTACAAAATATGACAGGTAACTGCTTGGCAAGGTTTTGCACAAAGGAACAGAACCAAGAGGTCTAATTTTTTATTACTCTGCCACATAGATCCAGCTCAATTTAGATGATAGTCTAGGTTCTGATAATTTTGTGGGCATAGATCTGACACTTCAGGAGGCAATGATATGATATGATCTTTATTTCATAGCAATGTGCTAACAGAGAAAACATTTGGATATAAACTTATAAACTACAATTTTCTATTACATATTTTTTTAAATGCCTTTTGAAGTTAACAAAATTTGTAGTTTTAATTGCTTCTGGAATCCTATTAAAATCTACAAGGCCCTTATAAAATAAGCTGTTTTGGGCAAAGGAAGATTGTACCCGAGACACATAAAAGTTGGAATTAGATCTAACATTATAACTATGTATATCGCTGACCATTTTTAATTTATTAATAATATGCTCTGGGTACATTCTATTCCTTATTTTGTATACTACCACCATAGTGTTATAAAAGATCTCCTGGCTTACACTTAATAAATTTGTAGATGTCAGCATGTCTTTAATTCTACCGTATCTTCCCCATCCCAAAATACTTCTCAATGCCTGGTTTTGTTTTTTTTTTTTTGAATAATATCAATATCACCTTTCTTAAACATATACAAGATTGTTGCACAGTTACTGAAATGTGGTAGGATTATCATCTTATATATAATTAATTTAGCCCAGACACTCAGGTCTTTCCCCATTCTACATAATAAATTCACGTTCTTTGATAGCTTTTTGGTTATATAAATTGCATGTTTTGAAAACGTTAAATTTTCATCTATAATTATTCCTAAATATTTACATTCATCAACTTGATCTAGTCTACTACCATTAATTACTATACCTTTGTTATTGTATGTGTTAGTTACATTATGCTTAGATTTCAATATCATACATTTAGTTTTATTTACATTCACACTTAAACTATTATTGTTTAACCATTTATATATATTATTTAAATCTTCATTTAAAAAGTTTATTATATCATCCACTGAATCACCCTTAACAAAAAGCATAGTGTCATCTGCAAAGAGTTGAATTTCACACTTCTTAATTATATTAACAATGTCATTTATGTACAACAAAAACAATTCTGGGCCCAGCGGAATACCATGTACATTGATCTTAGATTCAGATAATGATTCTAAATATTTGGTTTTTTGAGATCTCATTTCCAAGTATTGTGAAAACCAACCTAGGACTTTACCTTGAAAGCCATACCTTTGTAACTTCCCAATTAGTAATTCTCTGTTAACAGTTTCAAACGGTCTGCGAAAGTCCAAGAAAACCACGCCCACCATTTTTTTGTTGTCTAATGAAGATTTCCAGTTAGATATCACTGACTGAGTGACCACTTTGGAAACCTGCTTGACAGTTTGTAATAATATTGCTTGCACTCACATAATCTCGAACCTGGATATTAACTGCCGTTTCTAGAAGTTTTTCATATGCTGGTACCATATCAATTGGTCTATGTTCTTCACACTGAATAGTTCCACTAACTTTTTCTATGGGAATAATAGTTGACATTTTCCATTCACTTGGAAATGACCCAGTTTGTAAGCTTTGGTTTATTACATCCAAGAAACGTTTGCCAATGGCTTCAAATGAGAGCTTCAATATCTTTGTGTTTATTCCATCAGTGCTACTTTTTTTGTTTTTCAGATCATTCACAATTTTCCTAAGTTCTGATATCTGTAATATCTTGAACTCTGTGAATTTTTTAGATGGTGTTACTATACTGTTAAGCATTCTGTCACATTCTGTTGGATCAGGTATGATACTTAGCTCATTTGTGCTCTCTATATAGAAGTGATTGAAACTATTGGCGATTTCGAGACTGTCTGTTATCAGTTTGCCATCAAACATGATACCATCTATTGCCTTAAACTTGCTCCTAGAACCAATTATACTCTTCAAGGTTTTCCACATTTCTCTAGAGTCTCCTCTCGATTCATCAATTTTTTCTTGGTAAAAGTATCTCTTCTGTTCTCTTATTTTTTTAACTGCTAAATTTCTTTGCTCTTTGTATAATTCCCAGTCATCCTCTGCTTGCGTAATTATTGCTCTTTTGTACCTCCTGTCTCTTTCTGTTATGATATTGTCCAGTTCAACTGTCCAACACATTTTATTTCCCCATTTACAATTTATTTCTTTCACCACTATAGGAGCATGTGAATCAACTATTTCAGTAAGGGTTTTCACCAAGAAATTTGCCTTGTCGTCTAGGATGTATAAATCTTTGGGCCAATTGCAATCAAGTAAGTCTAGCTGGAACTGCAATTCATTAAAGTTTTTGGTATCACGAAAAGAAATCCTCTTTTCATATGTTGAAACTTCTGTGATGTTGATTGTTATAATGGAATGGTCAGCTATTTTTGGTGTGTAGTGCACATTATGTACAATTTGATTGTCATTAGTAATTATAAGATCTATTTTTGTTGCACTTTGTGATGTAATTCTTGTAGATTGTTGCAATAGTTGGTAAAGTCCATTTCGATCAATAACATCTCTCAATTTTCTTGAATAATATGTATCATTGGAAAGATCTATATCATAGTCACCTATCATCAAAAGAGTTTCTGGCTTTATGGCATATTCTACTAATAAATCTTCTAATTGAGATAAAAATTCACTGTGACTTGAATTTGGCGAGTGGTACATGCTGAGTATGTTGTAATGTGTGTTATTCAACTTTATATAAATTCCACTGAGCCACATATTTTTTTCTACCACCAGATCAACTGTTTTTCTGAACTTTGATTCTTCTTTTACATATATTGATGCCCCTCCAGTGTGACGGCTTGAAGAGAATGTATGGATACCTTTATACCCTTCGATGTCAATTTCATTTGCACTAATTTCTGGTGTTATATGCGTTTCTACAAAGCAAATTACTATTGGTCTCCATTTATTTATCACCCACTTGAGCTCCGTTGAATGTGCTGTGTAACTGTTAATGTTAAGGTACATTATAGTATTACTTAATTGCTATTTGTTTTGTTTATTCACATGTAATTGGGGATAGGCTACTCTCATTTGAAGCTGTTCAAATATGCTTTTGTAACCTTCACAATTTCTATTGTATGCTGTGTGGTCATAACGCACTTGTAGTTTTAGAACATCCAAAGCATATTTACAATTAACGCATACATTGACTTCACTTGTACACTCCTCTTGTTTATGGTTTCCACTGCATTTTGGACAAACAACATTTGCATTAGTGCATTGTTGAGCCATGTGACCAAATTTCCAGCATTTATAGCATTGAATGACATTAACATGTTCAAAATATTTACATTTTTTCCAGCCTATGTATAACACTTCTTTTTTATTTATTAGATCAAATGTTGTCTGGTCCACCTCTAATATTATTATTCCATATTTCTTGCTTTTATGTTCATAAGCGCTTATTATTTTGAGCACTCTTTCATCCTCTGCTGTAGAAATACCATTCTGCTTGATAATAGTTTCAATAAGTGTGTCTGGAGTCTCAATATATTTCTGCTGAATATTAATTACTTTTATCTTAGGATTTTTCTTTTTTGGGATATTTATTTCGTACTCCTTATCCAATTTCTCTTTTATATTCTCAGATATGTTGGTAATGTCTTCTTTTTTTGTACAACTTATAGCAATACCTCCTTCTTTTACATATTTCACTCTAGATACTCCTACACCTATCTCTGCTGGATTTATCTTCTCTTCAACTGCTTTTTTCATTTTTGAACTGTCTTGTGTTTTGTCCTTTGGTTTGATAACTATCACTTCCTCACACCTTTACTTTAAAACATCACTATATTGAGATTGTTGGATTGGTATGGGTACTGGAGTAGTGGTTGATTTATCAGCCAGCTGTTTTTTCATATCTTCCATAAGAATAACTGAATTTGGAATCTTCTTTAAAACATCTTTGCAGTTTACACAAGCATATAGCAGTGTTCTTTTTTGTAGACACATACATCTCACTTCTGAGCCACTTGGCTGTGCACGTACCTAGTGAATCTTCCCATTACATACGTCACACGTGTAGTAATCTTCCTTTATATCCTCTTTACATTTTATACAACTATCTTCGTTCTCTTCATTTCCCACCATTTTCCGCGAATTTTCGGTAATTGTGGCAACGTCGGCTCCAGCCTCAGGATTGTCGGCATTCATTGTTTGCTTCAGGTGACTGTTGAAGACATCTTTGTTACGCCTCTGGTCTGACCACAAATAAACGTATTTGTTACTGCTCGAAGGAATGCAGCAAAAACTAAACCCTTAACTGCACGCTGAGAAAAAGAAATTTTTCACTGCATACACACTACTTGTTTAATGTGCAGCGGAGACACTTATTATAATTTTTGAAGGCGGAAATACCACTGAAAACCGATCTGTTTAATCGAATCGTATATATATAATATTATAATCAAGCTGGATTATATGTCACAATTATCACCGCGAATATCTTCAAAACCATCCAATGCACCCACAAAAACTTGTTATAAGTTGAATTTTGGCCAAAGACATTATTAGTCAGTATTTTCTTAGGAACAAAGCTATTCTGAGCTTAGGGTTATGTTTCCCAGACATTACACAATTGACAATTGACCAGCAAGGCTCTGTGATCTAATACTGTGAGGAGTTTTTGTGTAAGGATACCTAAGGACACCAACAGTACCTGACCCCTTCGGGAACTCCAGGTATCCTTACAAGAAAGCAGTGACCCAAAATTGTCCAAATCTATGCAACAAAGTCATTGAAAATTAGTCCTCTTAGATCTGTAACACTATGTAGACTTTGTGGAGCTGCAGCAGACAGTTGGCTGATAAAATGAATAAATAATGTCTAAACCCATACAAACTGCCAAGTTGTTTTATTGGGAAAACCCTTTATACATTATCGAAAGTAGCATATTTTCAGACAGTAAAAATGTATCATAATTGTGTGAAATTCCACATATGTCTGACATATGTTGTGTTATGATTTATCATCCAGATCAGTATGATAGTGTGGCAGTTAACTCTACTATTTCCCTTTTTGGTTCATGACTACATATGTTTGTGTTATTAGAGGGTTTACGAGACATTAAAGGTAAATTAAAAGTAGAAACAATTCCTATTAAAGGTCTTACCGCCTCTTCAGAGTATGACAACCCATAGCTGAATAATACCACTCCGCAGATAAATTTGACCGATGTGCTAGTGTTACCCAACAGGGCTCCAAACTGCTGCCTCAAATATGGAAGATTTCTGCTTAAAGTTCTAAGTACAGCCATCGTCAAATCATTGGAATCACTTTTCAGAAAACCAAATCTTTACCTATTCTTTTAAGATGCAATTCTTCGGATTATAGGTTCGTTTTTTTCAATTGATTTACAAAACCAATACATTTATGTAGGTTTGGTGAGCAATGTGTATTTTCGCATTATTCCAGTATCTGTATGCGCCAACTGAAACTAAAAAACTAATTATGTTGATTTGATATTCCAGCATTAAAATCATTAAACAAAAACATACAAAACGTCCGGATTTTAGGTTATGTTTTATGCAGCGTGACATGTGACATGTGTGACATACCACAGACACCGTTTACCCGTATCCGAAATCCGGTTACAACGTCGGGCAAGATTGTCGAAAAACAAATAATGTCTGAGGCTAAACATAAGTGGTAGTCACGTGTTTTGGATTATTGCGCCGTGAAACCAGTCAGGCATTTATTAAGCTTATGAATTTCACTAAATAAACGATCTTCATTCGGAAAACTCACAAAAAAATGGCACGCCGAGCAAGACCACAAAACATGCACACTGAGCAAAAACGACGAGTGCCTTTAGGACACATGTGGTGACAGATGTCAGTATTTAAATGGCAAAAGCCAAAAGCAAACGTTTATAATACCGCGGGCTTGTTCTTGTTTTTATAAAGTTTGGTTTGAGTTGTTGATTTCGCTTAAAATGGAAAGTTGTTTTACATAGAATTACTTGTTCACCATCACTCCATGTCTTCAACGGACTACATTGTTGTCCTGCATAAGTTGTACATATCTGGCACTTTTTATTTCAGTTATCAACAGATGAGGTTGGAATAAGTGCGGAAAGTACGGTGTAGACGAAGGCTGATATTTTCAAACATTTCTATCACACCAACTTGTGGAAATTGATTTTAAGATATTCTGACAATAACATGACTGGAAAAAAGACTACCCGAGCAGCAACAATGGAGCTTGACCTGGAAGCTTACAGAATAAAAAACCAGAATCTGTCAGAACACTTGGCAAAAGCCCTGCAAGAAAAAGCTCAGGCTTATCAGCAAATAAATTATCTAAATAAGCAATATTGGAGATTGCACAGGAAGTATGTCTCCATAAAGAAGATCATCCAACTTCACATGAGGGATAGTGTTGCCTTGCTAACAAACTTCCAAGACAATTATTCTAATTTTTTTATGTTGGTAAGTACTATAATGGAGTGCTACACTACTAGTTTTTAGAGTTGCTTTTACCTCTCCTGTAGGACTTGAGCCGTTATTTCCATGCAATGGAAGTGAAATAACTGTTCCCATAGGTATGTTACCAGGTCCTTTAACCCTTTCGCAACAGAGGATCTTGTTACGAAATCTGTCTGTCCTTATACACTACATAATGTAAGTCACAAAATCTGAATACAAATGCAAATGGAATGTTAAATTTTAACACAGTTATGCTCTTTAACGTGGGGGCGCAGACATTGCACATTTTGCTGATGATTTGAATTTAAAACTTCCCAGCTCATAATTCTCCACAACAAATATGTTAATGGCATGCCCAAACTGAGGGTGCCTGCCCAATCAAAATCTAACATATTTTCAACCCTACTTGTTTACTTCCAGAATGTTAGAGGCTTACAAACAAAGCTGCATCTTCTATATGAAGACATGTCCTATTCTCAATATGATATTCTTGTTTTGAATGAAACCGTGTTAACTGAAGGAATTAATAGTACTGAACTACAATTACTTGATTACAATATTTACAGGCAAGACAGAACTTCACAGTACCTTTTCTCGAGGAAGAGGAGTGCTTATAGCTGTCCTGAAAGCTTGATTTAGTGGTATTGTACCATCCACTAAAAACATTGAATAATTGTTCATAAAAATTCATATTGATCAAACTAAAATTATCCTTGCTACAGCATATTTTCCTCCTGGTAGTTCTCCAGACAAATATGTTGAATTTTTGGCTGTAGGCTATATATTCTTGGTGATTTTAATCTTCCACATTGTCAATGGTCTAAGGAAAATATGGCCTCTATTGCTGTTCCTCTGACAGGAGTTTCATCATCTGAAGCTGAATCAATACAGGTCCTTTCTTGGTTGTGTTCATATCATAACCTTTACCAAGTGAATTTCATAAGAAATGAAAATAACAACTTACTGGATCTGATTTTTATGCAAGATGAAACAACTACGGTACATGCAGCTGAGGAAGCACTTTTACCAGTAGACACTCATCATCCACCACTGTATTTTGAGCTAAACTGTGAAACTTGCCTTAATAACTCTGGACTTAGTAGTAGTGGTTTTTACAGAGATTTTAAATCCACAAATGTGCAGCAAGTGATAGCATTTCTCTCCAGTTTTAATTGGGACAAACTGCTTATTAATAAATCACTTGGTGATATGCTTAATATTTTTTATGATGTAATTAATATATTTAACAATTGATATTTTTGATCCTTTGAAGAAGTACAATGCAAAGAAATTTCCCATTTGGTTTTCTCCAGAACTTAAACAAATGATAATTGAAAAAATGAGTTTTCTATTATCAGATCTCAGTGTAAAAATCTAAAAAAACTGTTATCTTGATTATATCAATACAACTGAATCTTCTCTTAGAGAAAATGTGAAAAGTTTTTGGAAATTTGTTAATAGCCATAAGGATTATCATTACTTACATACCTTCAGAAGTACATTATAATAATGTCAGTAGTTCTTCTGGTTTAGAAATTACCAATTTGTTTGCAGACTACTTCTCTAAAATTTACAGTGTAGAGAATAGTAATCTTTCTTATGGGGTCATCAATTTGTTTATCTATGAAATTCCAATCTCAGCCATCTATGACAAACTGTCCAAATTAGACGCTAATAAAGGATCTGTACCTGATGGTGTACCTCCATTGTTGATTAAACATTGTAGCTTTCTGATTTCTAGACCTCTATTTTATATTTTTAATCTTTCGTTGAAAAGTGGAACTTTTCCGGAATGTTGGAAAATAAGCTTCATTACTCCAATACTGAAATCTGGAGATCCTTCAAAACCCTACACAAAGTTAAATCTTTTAACATTCACAAACTATGTTTTGGAATCCTTGGAGGAAGGTTATTCTGTTCACGTAGTTTATACAGATTTTTCTAAAGCATTCGATAAGGTCAACCATGAGATCTTGATTAATAAGTTACATTGTCTAGGATTTTTCGGGGATCTTTTATCATGGCTGAAGTCTTACCTCACTGACCGAAAACAAATATGCGTATACAAAGCTTTCAATCAAATGAGATTAATGTGCCATCTGGAGTACCTCAAGGTTCCCATCTGGGTCTTCTTCTTTTCACTGGCGCCCCCCCTAGACGTCTGACACTTGCGTTTGTAATCTAACACAGTGTTGCTTTCTGACACATCATGGCGACAGAGGCATACTAACTATAAGTTATAGCTATAGGAACTGAGCATTGCGATTTTTCGGTATCCTTTGGTATTCCAAACACTGTCCCTCTTCGACATCACTAAGGTTCTCAGCACAATTCTTACGATTTATAGGTATATATGAGTATTGTCACTTGTGACAAATCTATGTCTAAGCAATATATTAGCTATACAGATTGCACTTAAAAAGTGATTTATGTTCTGTTTGTTGCTCAATAGTAATTTGTGTAAAGCTTGACTGATTTTGTTCGGAGTTGGTGTTGCAGCGAAGCACTATTAGTCTAATCACATTTGACGAAAATACCCCTAGTTTGCGAAATAATTCTAAAGTCTGGTTTTATTGCTGCAAGTTGCTCAAGGGGGTATTCAAAACATGGACGCATAAAAAGGGTACACCAATTTTTGTGGGAAAACTTTTCATTCATATTTTTAAGTATTTATGAGACCTACAAAATGAGTCCACAGGTAAAAAGATCCGACTAATAGCAAAAAAGTTATGAGTGAAAACCGAGGCAAACTGCAGGTTTTGGCGCGTGTTGGTAATGCGACGACGGTTTCTCGCAGATATTTGAAATTCTTCAAATTCGTAGGATTCGTACTTCTAAATAACCACAACAAAATTGGAGTAGATTGGTCGAGTAGTTTTTGAGAATTTCTAATTGATTATCCCAAAAAATCTGTTTTCTGGCCATCACTACTAGTTTATTGAGCAATATACAGAGTTACTTCAAAGGGCTCTTTATAGCAAAATACAATAGTTTACCTTGCCGATATGAATCGCAAACTATTCCGGAAGATAAATGTTATTTTTATGCAAAAAGGATGGATTACGTTTTTTCTCCTAAACAAATTCAAACATTTCGTATTTGTGAGTAACTCGCAACAAAGGATGATAGACACATCCGCATTGTTTTAAAATGTGTGTAGTAACGTATGTATTTCGAATATCGTAGCGCATTTGCTCAATCACTCACAAATACGAAATGTTTGAATTTGCTTAGAAGGAAAAAACGTAACCTTTGTTTTTCGCATAAAAATAACATTTATCTTTCGGAATGGTTTATAATTTATATCAGTAAGGTAAACACGATTACTTTGCTATTAAATGCTCTGTGAACGAACCCTGTATATTGCTCAATAAACTAGTAGTGATGGCTGGAAAACAGATGTTTTGGGATAAACAATTAGAAATTTTCAAAAAACTACTTGACCAATATACTCCAATTTTGCTGTCCTTATTTAGAAGTACGAATCCTGCGGACTTGAAGAATTTCAAGTAGTTACGTAAAATTATCGTCGCATTACCAACAAGTGCCAAAACCTGCATTTTGCCTGGTTTTTCTGCCATAACATTTTTGCTATTAATCATTTTTGCTAAAAATCTTATATAAAAAGTTTTTTCGTTCCTGTCAACACTTTCGATTGAATCCCAAAAAACACGTTTTCTCATTCTTTGTTGTCAAATAAAAAATTTTCCCATAAAAATTGTTGTAACCATTTTATGCGTCCATGTTTAAAATACCCCCTTGAACAACTTGCACCAATAAAACCGGACTTTGCAATTATTTCGGGGAAATTAGCTAATATGATTAGACTATATGTTAGATGTTGGAAATATAAATTTATGGGATTTGCTTAGCGGTGCGCCTGTGGCCTGTCCAGAAAATGCATCGATCGATGCTCAAAGTCAATACCACACGTCCCGCATTTCTCCCGCGTATGTTTATATTTCGAATTCGTTTGAGTCACAGAGCTTCTGCACTACACGTGAATATGTATAGCCCTGTATTCCTGTTCTTGTTTCGTACAAACATACATTATCAAAATAATTACGATCTAACATGTATAGTTTTTCCCAAGATTTCCAACATTTTTACGTGCGATCAACACCGATTCGAAAACTGAGAAAACAACAACTATGTCGTAAATCTAAGTTCGACAACGAGGAATAACTGTATTGTATTTCAAAAAATAATTGACTATACCTATTGACATTTTTATCACCTGCTGATGTAATAGAGGTGCTTGATTGTGTCAGTATTTACACCAATTACTTAATTTGTTTAACGGGTAATTCAGAGTATTAATCCTTAAGCTTAGTACATACTAGTAGAACCTGTTGCGCAATTTGTCTATAGGCAGTCTGGAGACGGTCTCAAGACACGATCTATAGATGGTCTACAGACATCCTTCTTTGTCTCGCCTCGTTTTCGCCATCAAAGACATTGTTTTGTGTGGAATGGCTGGGATGTCTCGGGGTCCCTCAACATGTTTTTTTTTGTTAACAGAGCAATTAAGTTTTTCATGTTTTAATCTTTAATATTATTACACTAGTTGATTATAAATGCCACGTACTTCTTTTGTTCTCATATAATAAAAAATTGCCTTTCTGAGGATTTCTGAGCTTTTTCCATACTTTTTTTCAAGCTGGCATTGAACAAATAGAACACAATGGATTTAAGGAGCAATAATGGGATAAATTCTAGAAGTTCCACTGAGGTAGAAAAATTACCAGCCCCAAAAATCGTTTGCGCCCCCCCATAGACGAAATCCCGAATCCGCCCTTGCTTCTTTTCAATATATACGTGAATGATATTACATACTGTTTTAAGTCTGTTAGTTTTCTAGTGTTTGAAGATTATTTGAAATTATTCTTAAAACTCAAATATAATAATGATTTTTTAAATATCCAAAATGATTTGAATTCATTAAGTCTCTGGTGTCAAATGAATAGAATGGAACTTAATGTGGAAAAATGTCATTTAATGGTCTTCAGCCATAACAGGGACCCCATTGATCATACTTACATATACCATGAAAGGTTGTCCTCTAAAGAGTATATCCCAAGTTGGGGATTTAGGGGTAATTCTTGACCCAAAGTTATCTTTTATTACCCATATTATTGTTTCTAAATCTCTTCAACTGTTGGAATTTATAAAACGATCTGCTAAGGATTTTCATAATATTGAGTCATTTAAAACGTTGTTTTGTTCTTTGGTGAGGCCACATCTAGAGTATTGTTCTTGTATTTGGTCACCCAACTATAATGTTCATATTCAGACAATTGAGAGAGTGCAACATAAATTCTTAAGATTCATTTAATTCAAACAAAACATTATGGTTAAAGATATATATTCCGTCATTGAAAGCTCTCTCAATATCTCAACCCTTCAGGTAAGACGGAGTCAGAGGGACCTGTCACTATTTTATAATATTTTGCACTCTCTTAGTTTTGCTCTAGAACTTTTGAAAACTATTAATCTCCATGTGCCTTCTCGTCAAACAAGACTGAATCAACGATTCCATGTGAGATCATTTCTTACTAATTATGCTAATAATTCCTTTCTGTCTAGATCTTAGCAAATCAGTATTTTAATAAGTTGGATTTCTTCAAAATTCAATTAGATTCCTGTCTGTAGTATTTAATATTTGATTTCCCCATATATTTATATTTTAATTAAATTCGTTTCAATTTCAAGGCATCCTATTTTATTTTGACACTAATTGTATCACGGCTCTTCATGAATGATCTAATTTGTTTTATTTTTATGAAAGCTGCACTCTAAGATAAAACTCAAGAGTGAGTATTTGTAGCAGATTGAAGGTAAAATTAGAAAAATGGCGCGTTTCGAAAAAAAACACTGGTTTATTTGGAAAAATGCCACTGATCCCCTATATCTCCTCTACTGGTGCACGTTAATTTTGAGTAAAGACTTTTGAATGTGGACAATACTTAGGTAAATCCACGTGCCAAATTTTAATTCATTCTAGTTGACGATTTTGAAGATATTAAAAAAATGCTTTTTATTTTTAAACTTCAACACCCCGTATCTTTTTAATGAAGCCCTTGAGGAAAAAATGTTACATAGAAGACATACATGTACATATTACACAAATAGCAAAATATGCCAAAAAGTTGTGTTGAAATAGGTGATTAGTCTGTGCATTTCAAAATGTTAAAAAATGTGTTTGTATCATTAGTATTTATACCTATAGGAAAATGACAGTACCACAGAGTCCAGTGCAAGAAGCAATTTGTCTCAAAATGCATCAACAAGCCTACATAATAGAAGTCAATCTGCAAGACTGCATAACAGCAGAAGTCAAAGATCAGGTATTTATAATTGCTATGCTAATCACAATTATTTTAAATTAAAGGGTGCTTGAAAGTTGGGACTGTCTGTTTAGAAACAACTGCATTTAGAATTACAAAGTTATATAGTTATGATAGAATTCTTTATTCAAGTTATCAACTTTTAATGACATAGAATGTAAGTAACAAATAAAACAAACAAATATGTTAATATATCAAAATAAATTTCAAGTACCATCCTATCACATGTTGCTCATAAATACAGTTTGGTGTTGTTGCTGTTCAGTTCAATAAGCTTGTTAACTTCTTCTTTAATAGGGGGTGGTCTGGATAGCAAGAAGTAGATGGAGCTAGTTATAGCTAGGCTGAAGGTCATATTTATAAACAATGATATAGTTGTCGTCACCAATCTTGGCGGTTATATGATCAATGCCATATGAATCAGATCGAGTCTCCGTACCATGGGCGGATCACGCCAATGGAAGTCAAAACTAGAATAAATCGTGAAAAATAGGTTACCTTTTTATCAGATCTTTTGCCCATATACTTTCGACAGTTTGACCAATCAGACAGGTTTCGCCTAGTGAGAGCAAAATTGGACATTGCTGATATTTGGCAACATACTAGGATGTCTAGGTTTTCTACTGTGTCCACCTTGAAATTCCTACAAATCGCGTTTGTTTGATATAAACAAGTCTATGCGGCTCAGATGGTAACATCTAGGGAAACAATCTAAATGCACTCGCTAAGTATCAGTAGCATCTTCAAGGTCCTTACTGTAAATTATAAAAATATGCCAGCGTCGTTCATTTAATCCAACTTGAAAATAAACGGCTAAATTAACCTACACACCATGCGTCGCCTAATTTGGATACTGATGTATATCTTATCCATTTACATGGGATGCAGAACCGGGATGAATAGCTCGGTTATCTTAAGGCTTTGGTGTATGTGTCATTAGGAAAATTGCTTATTTTTACATGATATGCAAAGCAAAATTTAAACTTTTGGAACACCATGTCTAATCGTGTATCACTAAAAGTCTGTAATAAATTTGTGAAGCTGTGCGCTTTTTCTCCCGTAATAAAACACCTTAATTCGTTTATGGTTAACTTTATTCTAGTTGATCTTTGTTGCTAGCTATTGCGAGGTATTTGGTCTGCTTACCGCAGCATTTCCGGCGACCTATAATATTTGCAATACCTAACAATTGCTAATAGTTTACAATAACATGTATTCATTGTGTTTTTATCACACGACACCTCCTCCTGTATTCAAAAGAATCTTCTTTACAATGAAATGAAAATTCTTCTCGCTCGCTGAGAATGTATTATGGCACAATGAAAAAATATATCTATACATACGAGGGTTGCTTCAAAAATAGGGTTCCCAACACTGAATCTTTGCTGTGCGTGATGCTAGGCGAAATCTGGCACCACCGTCGTGTTTGTCATCAAGAAGCCCGTCACCGTCAGGTACGAAATTCGTGCGGTGATTAGAACGTTACCACCCATAGAAATTCATCGCCACTTGAGTGAAGTATGTGGGAAAATATGTATAAGCATTCAACATGTCCTCAAGTGGTGACTGCCGCACGGACATCCACGATAAACAACGAAGTAGGAAGTTGTCGATCTCCGAGGAAGTTGTGGTGAAGGTCGACGAATCACTATCCGGGAACAGGCGGTTGAAATTCCCGAGGCTTCTGAACAAGCTGAGATGGCCAATCAAAAATCGTCGTATAGGCAAACTCACCAAAACGTAAGACTGCAGCACAATAATGTGCATTCTTATGTCTCACAACAAACGAAGGACTTAATTGAGCGATTTGGCTGGGAAGTCACTGCCCATCCCCCTTACAGCTGGACATAGCGTTTCCGAAATTGACGAAGCACCTATGCGGTCAATGGTTCGAGACGGTCGAGGAGTTGCAAATTCCTAAACGGGCTCGCTGCGGACTTTCTTGAAACGGGACTGCAAAAGTGGAGTTCATGTCTAAAAAATATGTAGAAAAAAATGGCGACTATGAAGAAAAATAGCTTAAAGACCGTTTTCAAAGGTGAATTCGTTTTTAAAAAAAAATGTATGGTACATACCTGAAAAAGCATGTGGGAACCTTATTTTTGAAACAACCCTCATACTATATATATATATATAGTAAATGAATAGGGTAACTTAGAATATAGGATAGGAAAGTAGGGTCCTCCAAACACTTAACTAAATACCAATATCTAGTTTCTATCACCTTGATTACGTACTATGATTATGAGTAATAGCGTTTCGTCCTATTTTTATGAATTACTATCTCCTTATTGCCCTTTACAATTTTTAAATTAGGAGATATGTCTTCTACAAATAAATATGGCCGAAAAACAAGGACTTGTTTTATCCCCAGTTCATTCTTAACTAAAATTGTATCCCCTTTATCATAAGCTATAGGGTTGGCTGTCTTGTCATATGTCACTTTTGTCCTGCTTTATTAAACTTGTCCTTGCGTCATCATAAGCTTTTTGTGGTCTATATTTTAGCTCAAGTTGATAGTTGTCGAAAGTATATATTGGCTCTACAGGGTACTTCGATATACGTAACTCGCATTGGAGGGTCAATATATAAGAAAAATCATACTAATCTATGGGTGGATCAACTAAGTCTAAGTCTAATTTTTGAAATGCATAGCTCGCTGTTGAAGTGATTACCATGGGCTCCTTGACAATGATTTGAGTCTTTGAGTCAATTTCCGAACATCATCAATTTTTCTCACACCGTTTATTACACATATATAGAGGCTTGCCCCCTTTGTTACTATTCCTTATTTTCTTCATTTTATTAGGCTAGCATTATTTTCATCTTTCAAAATTACCAATATTTGCTATACTACCGGTGCCAACCAAATCTCTCAGCATTTCGTCTCGCGCCAATGTCAGTCGAGAATTTTGATTTACATACACAACATCATGCGAAGGTATAGTACATACGTAATATAAATCTTCCGGCTGTATATAGTTCCCTTAATCGCTTGTTTCTAAAAATGTATGTAAAAATTAGATCTGTGCGATTTTGTTGGTTTCTTGAGGACCTTTACTATATTAGGTTGATCAAACCCAATATTTGTAGTATCCTCTCCAAGATTTTACCTTGTATTAGATTATGTAAATATTTAGAAATTAGAATGTTCACTATATTAACGAGAAAAAAATTTATCGGAACTTTATCGGGTGCTACATTTTTAACTTGACCTACATTTTCCTGTTTGGCATTAGCATTTTATCTACTTGATTAGAGTTTCAGGTTGCATCGTGACCGTGTGTGAATGAACTCGGAAGTCGCCGTGTAACACGACGTTTGTCTAAATATTTATATTATAGTTTTTAAGTCCGTTTCTAGTAGTAGATAATTTATAACAAGAAATTACTGATTCCCTTTGTTAATTGTTCGTTATCGTCATCCAAAGCAAAACATCCAATGCCGCATGTGGGTCTAATTAAGCCGTACCTACATTTTCTTTAGTCGCCAAAAGATCTAATGTGCTGGTTAATTGACGCTCAACACTTTATATCAACTTTTCAACTAGAGAATTTTAAAAATTAAATACACATCAGTTCTCAACTTTTAACAATAAAACTAAGTTGTACTCGTACCTGTTTTTTTGGGTTGGGCTGTACTGCACAAAAATGATAAAGTTACAAATACTTAACATATTGGTACTTATAGGAATAAATATACATTTCGTTTATAAATTAGTTTACATTATTTTTACACCATACATCTTATTCACTGTTCAAGTGTTCATCCGCGCACATTCATTACCACTATTTATTGTTCCATTATTTGTCTACTAGATATTATTGCTAAAATAAAAACCTAAAAAAGAATTCACTGGTCCTGATCCTCGGCACCGTCAAAATTGATTCTCTAAACATGTACAATTCCGCCATCATTATTTCTTTCTCAATGGGCTTCCCCTACTGATTTTCAACAGCATACTTGACAAAAGGTATATCCATATTGAAACTTGTAACTTCTGAGAAAATACCTTGAACTTTCTGCGGGGATCTCTATTAATATCAGCTTCATGGTGAGCCAACAGTTGATATTAAACAAATTTATCTTCTTTTTCCTAATCCTATTTATTCTAAACAAGAAGCATTTGTAAAGCGTGAGAAAAGTACAACTAAACATATTTACATCTCAATTGTATGGAAAATGTAAAAAAGTTGACATAGTTTATCTGATGACCAACATATGTACATTTGGTTAATTACATTTGGGAGATTCAATGAAGGAGTCATACTCTCCTACTTTCCATGCATTTTTTTTTTTTATTGCCATGCCACTCATTTCTGTCTTCCAGAATCTGCGAAATTTGGGACGTGATATGCTGTTAGGCTGCTTGGCAGATGATATTTCACTATGTATTTTTTTAAATTCATACAATGGCGGGATAACCATAATTAGAATAATAATACTAAAACTTTTCCAAATTCGTTTTTGTATGTCCAACCACAATAAAAATTGAAGGGGTGGACTTTTTCTACAAGATTCTTTTATTTTTTAAGTTCCTGAAATTGCGATTACTTTAGGGGTAGTGAAAAAATGGAACAGTCGTACACGACATTTTATTTTTGCTCTTCAACGAGTGGGTACAAAAGTTTCATTGACGAATTGATTTCCGGTCATAGTTACAAGGTGCCTTTTGTACGTTTAAAAGTAATTTGAACAATGGCAAGTACGTTAATGCGTGAAGTACGGAGTTGGTCTAATTGACAAAGGTTTTATTTGAATAAATTAATCCTCATATTTCTAGCGTCAACCACCAATGATGAAAGCTTGGCAGAAGGTATCCCTAAAGTAACTACCGTGAGAAAACAATATGATGATAAAGAAAGCACGCCAAGGGCGTCAACATCAGGACATGGCAATTCCCCGTCCCCCAAACGCAGTGATGCCGAATCTCCTAAGCGAATGGCGGAAGTGCAAGTCAACATCAGTAAGAGAAAAGGTTCACCGGAGGAAGATAGGTCATGGGATGTCAATGTGCGCTTGAGAGGTTATTCTTTATCTATCTTACTTTATAGGTTAAGACATTTTCAAAGAAATTACTTATAGCCTTGTTCACGAGTTTCCATTACGTCAAACGTTACAGCTGAAACAACTGAACATTTCAAAATACCCCATATCGACAAGTGTCACACAATTCTGACGGATTGGTCTATATTCGGGACGAGCCCTATCGTGCTTCGTGTTTGATTACACTACTCAAACTCGAGCAGTGAAAGTCGTCCCCCTTAACATAAACAAAAAAGATCACAATATCGAGTTGCAATTTCTACAACTTATGGAACAGTTCAGAGACACCCATACCCTCATATACACTGACGCATCTAAAGTGGGATATGGGGTACACATTCCTCAACTGGAACATAACTACACATCCATACTCCCTGACTACTTAAATATAGTCATAGAAAAGAAAATACAGAAAAGCCTAATGTTAACAGACTCGCAAAGTGCTATAGCACAAATAGCAAAACAAGGTGTGGATGCTAACTCATAATATGGCTACCTCACAACAAGAAAACTAATTCACGAAGCTGCAGAAAAAGGATACAATATTTAAATGGCTTGGATCCCAGGACACTCAAACATTAGACGAAATGGAAGGGCAGGCATCCTAGCTAACTTAGGAAGACAACTCAGAATCCCACAAGATACGAAACTTACCATACCCGATATACTAACTAAGGCCAAAACAAAAATAAAGGAGAAATTCACAACATTCATCAACAAAGGCAGATGGTATAAGAAAATATAAGAATTCCCGGTCAAACCATTTTACTCCAAAACCCCGCAGAAGACACCTAACAGCCATAATCAGAATGAGAACGGGACATGTAAGATATAAAGCTCACATGTTCAAAATAGGAATGGAAGACGACCCTTATGTGATTGTGGACAATATGCAGATTTAAATCATATACTATTAGAATGCCCAATAAATCAAATATTAGGTTTTAATCTATATGAAGAGATAAGAAAATCTGGATTCAATACCCCCTTGTAACATTCAATTAATACTTGCAAATATCAACATGAATGTCATAAACCTATTAACCTACTTCATTCAGACAAACAAAATAGTATTATAACTGTTTCAGATCCCCATCTTTTAAAACCCTGGGTGCTAATCCTTTTGCCAGGCAACATTTAGGGTGTGTGTAATGTACCTCCGTTGCCCGGGTACGAGAAAAGTCTATACATGTGTTGTGCTATCTGTCTGACTAACCTCCCCACATCACTTTAGAAAGCATAAGTAAAGGTTTTCAACAATCATAAATAGCAACATCTCAGCTCTAGAAATAATACAGCAGAAGATATAGATTTATTTTACAGCATTTCTGCACGGGAATTCGAGACAATACAGTGACTCGTACATGGCTGAGAGCCAGACAAAGTACAGTCACAACAAATGAACTGGCGGATTGTACACGTGTACAGAAGCCATAAGGAATAAAGAAGAAGAATATGGATTAGTCAATGCTTGATCTCTAGACAGAGTGGTATTTTGTTGTATTGTATTTGCTACGAATTCATACTTCCTAACAATGTCTGTATTCAGAAAACTTCCTTCACGCGCAGTTAAAAAGGCTACAAGCAAATTGTCTTCTAATGACCATGACTGTATTTCAAGTCAGGTATGAAAAAAACAAGATATACAATTTTTAATTATTTTGGTTTAATTAGTTCTGAATGTAGTCCTGAGTTTATCCCAATCCAGACTCGATTAAAAATTGCCTACAAAAACTATAGACTTTAACACAAAGATGTCACTTGCTAATCAGCTGTTCACCTCTGTAGACGTCAAAACGTAATGGACACTCGTGAAAAAGACTACGCACTAAAGTCAAATTTCTTATATACACGGTGTTTCAGTTTATTGTTGCATAACTTTAAGATTTAAGGGTGTTTAAATTTACTTTCTAAAATAGTTTTTTTTAAATATTTCGAACAATATTTGATGTATAACAGTGAAAATTTTTATACAAGGGTTTTTTGGTACGACAAAACGAACCATGGGCATAGTTTTACTGAAGCCGCTAGAGGGCCTCTCTACTGTACCTGTAGTGTATTAAAATGACCGAAAATTTTTTCATAGTGCAATTTTTTGGTTTTTGAATAAAAAAACTGATTCTTCGCACTTTTCTGCATAAAAAAGCTCTCCTGTGAGTTTTCGTTATAGTTAGCCGTTTTTGAGATATTTAGATTTTTAAGGTGCGATGCATTTTTAATTATTTATGGGAAAATAATATTTTTTTTAAATTTTCGATTTGGGCATTACAAGTAATTAAGATGGTCGTTTAGATTGTGTTTTTAAACACAGCAATGATTCCTAACTCCAAATAAACACAAAAGACAGAATATTAATTTGTTTAATTTTCCAATATTATTTTTAACAAATTAAATTAATTATTTACAACTAAAATGCTATTGGATAGTTAGGACAAACATACAAAATCTAAAGTAGTTGCTCGAAATGTAAACCCAATTGTTCAATACACAATTCACATCTACGAATGATCGAACGTGGTATAGCATTATTCAAATAAGGCCTTATTTCATCACATGCATTCCTGATTCTGTCTATTAGCATATCTCTTGTGGTTACGGGAGTCTGGTACACTTTTTCTTTTAGAAATCCCCACACAAAGAAATCTAATGGATTTAGGTCAGGGGATCGTGGAGGCCAGGCGACTGGTCCTCCATGGCCGATCCATCTTTCTGGATAATTTTCGTCCAGCCAGTTTCTAACTATTCTCGAATAATGAGCTGGACAACCATCAAGCTGGAACCAGGCCAATCTTCTTAAATCTAACATAACATCATCCCACATATTTGCATGTTCAGCCTTCCAAGAAGGTCGCAGCATTTAACCTTGCAGGCAAAAGGTGGGTCCAAATAGTCGATTACGGTAGATACCAATCCACACGTTCACACTAAATTCATGATGAAAATTTCTTTCCCGAACTGCATGCGGATTTTCATGCGACCAAATATGTTGATTATGAAAATTTACCACTCGACGTCTAGTGAAGCATGACTCATCGGTCCATAAAGCGTTACTTAAAAACTCCCTATTATTATCAGTTCTATCAAGAATCCACTGACAAAATCTGATTCTTCGTTCTCCGTCCCCTGGCTGTAGTCCTTGCACAGGTTGCAAATGGTAAGGACGTCTATGGTCATTTCTAAGAACACGGTAAACATGGCTTGCTGAAATTCCTAAGGCACCAGAAACTCTCCTAACACTTGTGGTCGAATCTCTATCAAACTCACGCAGAATCATACGGGTAAATCTGCGCTGACGAACATTTATGTTTTGATCCCTTTGGAGATTTCCAAAACCATTTTCAATTATTTGGCGATGCACTCTTACAAATATTGAGCGAGTTGGATGTCGTCTATTTGGAAATCTTCGTGCGTATTCTCTGGCTGCTTCTGCTGCGTTTCCATTTACAAAGCCATACACAAAATGAATATCCGCTAACTCTTGATTGGAGAATAAAAATGGCATTTTTATAAAACTTACAAAAAAACAGGTAAAGGAAACTAAATTTCGTGCATTCACAATTGCAAAAAAACGTTTCAGGTTTCAACAGACAACAAAACTGTCAACTAATTGACGTTTAACCTTATTCTGCTTTCAATTTCAAAAATATTTGCAGGCACAGCCTACTTCTAAAAATTATCGAGATGACTTTTTAACGTTATTTTATCATAAATAATTAAAAATGCATCGAACCTTAAAAATCGAAACATCTCAAAAACGGCTAACTATAACGAAAATTCACACAAGAGAGCTTTTTTATGTTGAAAAGTGCGAAGAATCAGCTTTTTTATTCAAAAAGCAAAAAATTGCACTAAGAAAAATTGTTCGGTCATTTTAATACACTACAGGTACAGTAGACAGCGCCGTCTAGCGGATACAGTAAAACTATGCCCATGGTTCGTTTGGTCGTACCAAAAAACCCTTGTATACCAATTTTCACTGTTATACATCAAAGATTGTTCGAAATATTTAAAAAAAAACTATTTTAGAAAGTAAATTTAAACACCCTGTATTTCGGAAGCCACGCATTTTTCGACCCATGTTATGCATTAATTTTAAAAGTTCTATCGAATCTTAAAGTTATGCAACAATAAACTGAAACACCATGTATAGTGTAAATCAGCATGGATTAAATCCGCATATTCGACCTGAAACATTCATATCTCAGAATAATTGGTCGGAAGAGAATCAGTTTGAGACCACGATCTTATATCTGTACAATAGCTTTTGGGTTATAGAGTAGTTTGCATTTGCTAATATGGCAACAAAACCCTATTTTTTAAACGTAAAATCTGGTGGTTTTGGATGCTAAATAACAACGCCGAATGGAACAATAAATAAAAGTACGCACATAGACCGACTATTGTTTGCATTGGCCCGCATTACAACTATACATGCAAAATTTTGTGACTCGCAAAATTTGACAACTTAATCGGCCATTCAACAAGACAGAGCAATGTGCCACATAGCCAGCGGGACAATGATTGTTTTGCGAAGGATGTTTTAATGTCCCTTGATTCTTCCATTAGATGTAATCTTGCCCCTAAGATTAGCAGTGTTTACTGCCCCAGACGTCATTCTATATGGATTTCCAGAAAATAAGATGTGTGCTAACAAACCCAGCACTATAAAGCAACTAAAAGGGTCGGGAAGCTATTCAATATATTCTTTCCGATTTCTATCGAAAAGTGATGGAAAAGGTAGTCACGAGTGCTCTGGTTTATGCGTATATATATATATATATATATATTATTTCATACATAACTTCCATCTTTTAAGAAAAGATTAAAACAAAAATATATCTCAACATGCCCCAAGTGCTTAGAGGAGGATGAAACAGCATTTCACATTCTGGGCTATTGCCCCGTATAGTACAGTCAAAGGGCTGCGATATGCTGGGCCACGGAATTTGTAGATGAAGTTGCTTATTCAGCGGAGTGGTAGGACATTCTGACCTTCATTGGGAAGGTTCGACAGTTTAGTGAATCAAAATGTAAAGTAGTGTCGGTACATTTGGGATAGGCAAAAAGGGCCGAAGGTGGCCTACTTGCCTGGCTTCGCCTCCCCACCCCATTACTACTACTAGCATGTAAATGAGCTCTAAAATTAGTTTTTTTGCTCTCTACAGTAAAATAATTGAAACTTGAAACTGAACATTTGTGTGTAAAAAAAGTTAGTATTTCAGCGTGTAAGCAAAGAAATGATAAGACAGACAAGGCGAATTACATTAGAGTGGGTGATAGACTGGCCAAACCAATTTAAAGGAACGTTTAACCACGCATTGTTATTTCTTGACAAGAAATTGGTGAGGTGTTGCGAGATAATTTTTGATGAATTTGTGGTTCAGCTCTTGTAGCGTCTGATTAAACATTTTTTGTTGAAATATACTTTTGTGACTTACATTTTTGCTTGGTGCAGATATTTGACATCCATTTGCAGTCTGCCAAATACATATATGTATATTTTTATACAATATCCCCGTTCCGATATAATAATAAAATAATCCAATCACAAAAGATATCTGATCATTCTAAAGATTATTTTACGTTCATAAGTAGATATCATAGTAAATCATACTTTTAGAAGCTTCATTAAATATTAAATCGAATTTTCGTATTATAGCAAATGCGTGAGTTTAATATTTTCAAATATTTTGAAAAAATGATTGTAGGGAATAGGTTTGCCACAATAATAAAACTATGTCACTTCATTCAGCTCATTATAAATATAACAATTTCTATACATTTGTTTTTCGTTGTAGAATGTGCTGAAACAAATAACCAGTAATGTAGTGCCAAACCAATTTAAAGAGGCAAGGTCAATAAAGACGACCGGAAAACTTCAAAAAAATTCCGCGCTGTCTTCTTTTGGTATTCCTTCTCTTTCACTTGAGCCTTAATCTTCTTTCATTTTAGCTGGTAGCAACGGAAATATGAACGGGATTTCAGATTCCTCGGATGTAGAAGATAATGATGAAGAAGATAATGGTGAAGAAGATGTTGAGGAGAAGCTGAATACCATTCAGGTAATACTTTTCATGATTCTGAAACCTCCATAAAAGCAGTGCTTATGTCGCACTTAACTTGCTTGGTCAGCGTCCCACTAGAAGTAGTTTTTCTCTCACCAGATAAATGATATTTTAAAATTGTGTCCTGCTAACTTAATTATTCCAGTTTGACAAGTAAACTTCTCTTCCGAAATATTTGAAAAGAAGTGAGAACTAACTAATAATAAGTATGGCTCGTCATGTAGCTACCTTGAGTATTTCAATTATCCAGAAAGTATTAGAAAACGGCCTTCAATGCTAACAGAATGCTATTAAAACCAATAAACATTAGCATGTTACCTGCCGTCAGAACAGAAATGCACTAGCCTGCAGACCAAATCTGCTTCGGGTTGCAGTGATTTGAGTTTTCAAGTGTGACAGCGGGTTGGTAGGTAGTAGTAATATTTATTTGTCTCCAAAATACACAACCATTACAAATACAATTTTATACTCATCGAAGACAAATAAATATATACTAACATATAAGGTGTTTCAAGTTATTTACAAATGAATATGAAACATCATGATTAATGATTCATGTATTGGTTACGGTAAATGCTGGAGGACAAGAGACGAAACGTCAAATTGAAATTCTAATTATGCCATCTAGTAGAGGAGAAGAAGAGGCAATGTTAATGTGCAATTTATTTTAACATCTCACTACAAAGTCAGGAAAAGATTTTTCTATATTGATGTTCAACTTATATTGGATTTAGAATGACTTCACTTTGCTTTCTGTTTGTCTCATCAAGCCCCTAGATTTATTAACCATATCATAGAGGTTACTATGAAAATCATTATTCGCAATTTTGTAGCATACGCCATATTGGATTCAAAATGGCGGAAATTAATTCATTTTGTATTGTAAGGTACATGTAATGCAAATAAATATTATTATTAGGAAGAAGACGAAAGCAACTATTGGTGTGAGTCTGTGAAACGATTAAAGCTCATGGTTACTGGAGGAGTATCACCACCAACCGCAGAACTAGATCCAGATTCCTCGATGGCCTGTCAACTTGACGATACTGTTGTTGGTAAGAACTTTTTTATAAAGAGAATGTTCTAAATACCGACACGGCAACCTAAGGCCGACATATATTAGATTATATCAAAATTCATTTAATTTCATTTTGACCAATAAAAAAGTTCATTCTTACCATTGAACTCAGAGTTTCTCTTGATAAATAGCAGGAGAAAAAATGCAGAAGTCTCGCCGTCGTCCACTAGTCTCGTCTTTAAAGATGAAGTCAAAACTTTGTGATAGAACACTTAATGGTATGAGAAACACATGAGCATATTATCCTGTCTAAAATGGATGCATTCGCAACATTATTTGACAAACGTCAAAAGCTGTCATAAAAAGCTTCATACAGAAATAGAGATACGTCCACTTTCTATTGGTTAGTCTCCTCTTGCTTTCAAGTATTGGCGTCCAGTAGGTCAATTCTTGAAAACGGGAGAGCAAAATAAGATAGAAAGTGGATGTGGTCCTATTACCTTTGTGAAACTATATTCTCCAACACTGATGGAAGACTCGCTCCCTAGGACATTGTCAAGAGAAAAATTGCCATCGTCCATTACACGATTACTCTCATATCAAAAGACAAAGTGAACTTTGTAATGAAACATTTAGTGATATGAAAACCCTAGGAACATATTATCTTACCAAAAATGGATGCATTCATAAGCCTATTTACTAAACGTCAAAACAAGCCTCAGAACCGGTCGAAAATGTAACACAGGATAGCGCAAAATGAAGTATTCAAATTTATTAGGGTGTTCTGAATAATTTCCGGCCTCAACGTGAAGATGGAAGCACTCGTAAATAAAAGCTAGTGAATTCCGTTGTTCATCTGTTGACAGTTACTCAGCAAAGTTTCAGCCATTTTGGACGCGCAGTTGTTATGTAACAGTCGTTTGAGGGAGCTGATGTGAGTGTTTTTGTGAAAATGTACAAAATCGAGTATCGATCTGTCATTAAATATATATATTTTTTTTTGAAAGGCAAATACGCCTACTCAGATCAAAGATGAGTTGGATTCTGTGTATGGGGACTCTGCACCATCAATTACCACAATGAAATTTTGGACAGCTGAATTTAAACGTGGCCATAACATCTTGGGCGACGATGAACCTTCGGGACGTCCAAAAACTGCAACTACCGACGAAAACATCGCCAAAGCTCAGCAAATGCTGCTAGACGACCGCCGAATCAAAGCGAGAGAAATAGCAGAGGTAATGAACATGTCAAGGGACGTGTTTGTCACATATTGAATCAACATTTAGCCATGAGAAAGCTGTCCGCGCGTTGGCGCAGTTTAGGCGCAATAAATCCGAGTTTTGGCGCCGATTAATTACTATAGATGAATCTTGGATACACCATTATGCGCCCGAAACAAAAATAGAGTCCAAACAGTTGACTGTAAAGGGGGAACCGGCTCAAAAAAAGCAAAAACTCTTTTTTCGGCTGGGAAAGTGATGGCGACTGTTTTTTTTTTTTGGGCAGTCATGGAGTTATTTTAATCGATTATCTTCAAAAAGGAAAAACAATTACAGGGACATACTACACATCATTACTTGACAAGCTGAAGGCAGAGCTTGCGGAAAAACATTTGCAGAAAAATAAAATCCTATTTCACTAAGACAACGCACCGTCTCCCACCTCAGCGGTTGCCATGACCAAAATCCCCTAATTACGGTTTGATCTACTTGACCATCCATCTTACTCACCAGATCTAGCCCCAAGCGACTCCTTTTTGTTCCATTATCTAAAAATTGCGCTCGGAGGACAGAGATTTTCGTCAATTCAAGAGGCAATCAGCTTCGTGAACATCTATTTTGCAGAGTACTATTTGGACGGGTTACAAAGATGGGAGCATCTCTGGGAGAAGTATGTAGAGTTACAAGAAGACTAGCTTGAAAAATTGAAAAAAGTCAGAAAACATGTCTGGTATCTTTGTTAGGTCGGAAACTTTTCATATATATATATACAGGGTGACTTTGAAGTTGAGTCATTAATTTTCAGATAATGATTGTAGAAGGAAGATAAACCAAAATATGTCTGTAAAAATAAAAAAAAAATAAAAAAAAATTTTTACCTTGTTTTATAAAGTATCCTCCCGACAAGTATTTCAGTGCGGACCTGTATTTGATCGTGAGGTCCCCTGTGAGGTCTTAAGTCACCTGATTCACGAGCCCGTTGTACTACATTAACAAAGGCACGAGGGGTTGGTTGCACTCGATTGGGAAACCGATCCGCAAAAACATGTGCCATTTTTTATTTCGTTTGAGCCACGCAACAGACACTATTCACACGCGACTGACACTGACTGTATGTATAACTGAACTGAATAAACTAATTGTAAAAACATCGTTCCAAATTCTTTCGCTTTTTTGTTTCCGATGCGATGAACCGATAAGGTGGACTATATCCGTTGTTGCCAAACACGAGCACATGATATTATTATTGAGACAGGGCGGTACTCAAACTTCCAAAGGGCTATAACTTTGTTACTTTAATTTTACCAGAAAAATGGTAAAGGAAAAAAACATTTCTTTTGATCAGATCTACTCACTGTTAAAATAAATGACTCAACTTCGAAGTCACCCTGTATATATATACTTATATACAGTGCTTTTCTTTAATGTCCCCCTACCCTTTGATTTTTTGAACAGATCAATTCAAAATATTAAAAAATGAAATTGATGCCTGGATACCATATTTTAGAGTAAAATTGACAGATGAAAATTTCAAGATGGCCGCTGGGCGACAGCTTGGAAAAATTATATGTAAACGGGAGTCTTGTGGCACATCATTTTGAAGCTCCTGACCAGTACTTTATAATCCTAGAATATAAAGTCAATACCTTTTCCTACTACAAAATTGTGGCACATTTAATAATTATCTGAATACATTGACATTTAACTTGGTAATTCGAATAAATACGTTGAGTTCAGTTTATAAGATGCTGGAAATGGTTGCCTTGAACTTCTTGACATAATAACAGCCGGTCCATAATTTCGCGTCGAACATTTTCAAACATAGTAACATCGATATTTCTACAAATATTTATGCACCATCTTGCTGGAATACAATATCAGTATCGAATTCATTAGGATTCGCTTCGACGATTTCGGTGATTAGAGGGTCAATAGTATTTTCCAGCATATCCGAATACAGTTCCCCGGTTAAAGTTTGTTCGATGAATAGAGGCCCTACAATATGGTTTCCCAATATCCCAGCCCAAACGTTAATTTTTTGTGGATATTGAGTATGAGTTTCCCGGAAGACGTGAGGATTGGTGTCACTCCAATAACGACAATTTTGCCTATGCACATTACCGTTGAGAAAAAAATGTACATTCATCACTGAAACAAATATTTTGGATATAGGTAGGATGTCGTGCAATGGTTTCCGTCATAGTCTCGCAGACTTCTGTTCTTCGATCAGGGTCATCTTCAGTTAGCTGATGTACCATTTGAATTTTGTATGGGTGAATACTTATTCTTTTTCAAAAGTCTCCATACAGTAGAAGGACAAACCTCACATATATTCGAGATGGAGGAAGTAGACTGTTGGGGATTTACTATGATCTCACCAATTATTTGAACTTGCTTTTCTTCCGGGATGGTCGGATAACCTGGGGGCTTTTTGTAGTTTACACTACCAGTAGCTGTAAATTTAGATACAAGTTCCCTTAAATATTTTCTACAGATAGGGAAGCGATCATTAAAAATCCTTTCGGTCTCGAGAAAGTTATGCGTCGCACCATAAATAAAAATCGCTTCGATTAACAAAATGGAAGACAATTCCAATGGACGAGAATTGACCATTTTAAAAATAGTTCAAACAGTATCTAGCACAAAAAAAAACGAAAACTAAATAAGAATATTTCAACTGTACAATGATGTTTGTTTTAGTACTGATATTCTTGTCACTGTCAACAAAAAATAACAAAACAAGTTTTTATCGCTGGTGCTGTGGATACGGCAGGTAATTACAGTTATTTGTAGAGATATGCATGTTAGTGGGTTTGTGTTCAAGTAATTATTAAATGTACCACCATTTTGTAGTAGGTAAAGGTATTGACTTTATATTCTAGGATTATAAAGTACTCGTCAGGAGCTTCAAAATGATGTGCTCCAAGACCCCCGTTTCTATATATTTTTTTCCAAGATGCCGCCCAGCGGCCATCTTGACATTTTCATTTGTCAATTTTACTCTAAAATATGGTATCCACGGATCAATTTCATTACCTTGAGTTTTAATTTTTTGAATTGATCCGTTCAAAAAATCAAAGGGGAGGGGGACATTAAAGAAAAGCACTGTATGTACAAGGTACTTTCCAGTACATCTACTTTGTTACGACTTATTTCATTTTAAAATTGTATATATATGGTATATATATATATATATACCATATATATAATATATATATATAAAAAGAACAATTGAGCTACCACTTTGTTCTAAAAATTTTGAAATGATATGGCTTTTTCTTGGTAATTAATGTTTCCAAGTCTTAAATTGAAGTTGCGGCTATATACGTGCTAAGGTAGAACAAAACCCCCTACGTAAAAAACCAAAGACGAGTATTTTCATTCATTGCTCCATGGTGTCTCGCTTCATATCATTTTCCCCAATCCTCTTCTGAATCCTAAAAAAAATTGTTTTGGTAAACGAGCGCGTTATAAATAATTCAAAACATAACATTCATTTTGCGCCACCCTCTAGAACACTTCTACCCTTTCCAAGAATTGACCGCCAGGGCAAAAAATTGACCAGTGTATTAGGGATTGTGAAACAGATAGATGATAGTCTATGAATATTTGTAGCCCGCACATGAGCGTTTTTTCCTGACATTCAATCATGCCGTACTCGTTGTTCTATCACAAGAAGAATAGTAGTAGTAGTAGAAAGATTTATTTAGCACATTTGGCTACATAAACAGAACAATTGTAAACAACTTAGAACTAGTAAATTCAAGCCATATGGTGTATGATGTAAATGCTGGGCAACCTATAATTGTAGATTTAACAAGTGATTTCTCAATTTTACTTTAAATTTTGTCAAAGTTTTCTGGTCTTTTATCTCCGAGTATAATTTATTATATTCAATCAACCCTTGATGGAATACAGATTTGTAGCATATGTTATACTTTTTGGTCATTAAATGGAAGTCATCTTTATTTCTGGTATTATGTAAATGATGGTCGACATTTGATGATGTTAAATTAGTTAGACTTGATGGAAATATATTATTTTTACTTTATAAATGAATATCATTACAAGATATTTGATAAAATTTTTTACATTGAGCCATTTTAATTTGCTAAGCATTTGCCTAATTGGAGTATATTTATCTTTATTTAGTATTATTCTCATGCACTTATTTTGTAAAATTTGCAGTCTTTCAAAAATGGAATTATTTGCTAAATATAGAATAATCGAACAGTACAAGAAATTTGGAAGAATGATGGTATTATAGATAATGTTTCTGCTATATGAACTCAGACATCCAGAAACTCTCGATAAATATCCCACTTTACTACTAATCTTATTTATAACTTTTTCATAATGAATATCAAAAATTAATCGAGAGTCAACAAAAACTCCCAGGTATTTAAAATTTTCTACGAATTCAATATCTTCACCATCAATATTCAGTTGAACATTTGTACATTGTTTTTTTCCGATTAACAAGGCTTTCGTTTTACTTGCATTTAATTTTAGTCTGTTAGATGCTAACCATTTTGAGACAAGCTTCAAGTCTTCATTTATATGAACGGCAATTTTTCCGTGAAGATTGTTGACTTGTCAACTCGACCAGCATAAATTCGTACCGAAATGACCCGGCAAGTCGGCTTTGTAAAAAGTAGGTTCAGGTTAATTTCGCTGAATTTTTTATATGTTATGAGCCCTGGCGGCCTCAACAATGTCTCTTTGGTCACAGGCTCCCAAACTCAACGAAGATATAGACCGCTCAAGTCAGTATAGTGGGGTATCGTTACTACCTGACTATCTGCTTTATGTGTAAGAGAAGTTTTGCTTAATTTCGCTAAGTTCTTTATACTTTATGTGTCTGGGCGTCCCGAACAAATGTTTTAATTTGCATAGACCAAAAAACTCGACTAGAGCCAAGATATCAGTCGTCCGAGTCAGTATAAACGGGTGTTCGATGTACTCAGCTATATGCTCTGTCTAAAAGAGTGGTTTCTGTTAATATAGCTGAATATGTGCAGTCTCATATATCTCGGCATCTTGAACAAGTGTACAAAGCACACAAACGCCAATACTCAACGGATCCCAAGATACATATATGTCGTCTCGGTATAATGGGGTATCGGTCCTACTCGAATATTTACTATAATTCGGTTAATTTCGCTGAATTTTTTATATATGTGTCTCGGCACACGTCCTACATCTTCGAAGTTTGAGGGCTTATGCCCATAGAGACATTTGATGAGAACGCCAAGACGCATAACTAACTGACAAATATTTCGGAAGGGAGAATGAAAGTATTACGTCCCTTCCATAACAAAGTACAAGAGTATTGGCAGTTTTATTTTCCATTCTCTCTTGTGACAGGAAAGAATGGCATGATTGAATGAGAGAAAAGAATGCTGGTCTAACTGCTGCAATTGCCTAAAGCACTAAATAGTAGCAGTCGTGTTCGAAATACGATCATTTTGAAAGAAATGTAACAAAAGCGATTTTTCAGCAGCATCATCTCGTCTAGAGGGTCTTTTGTCACTGATTTTTGTGTTCTGCGTTACTTACATAATATGTGAAATTGCTCACAGATTCTGCGACATTGTTTCAAATTCGACCCTCTACCATTGGGATCTCGGAAACGGTAAAATATGAAGTAGCTTAAATGAGGATGAAGTTGCGTTTTTAGGCAACCAACATTCAAAGTACATCCAAGGGGAAGGAAAAAACAAATTTTCCTAAAATCGTTTAACTAAATTTATCCAAAGTAATTTTTCCTGACTCTATTTGAAATGAGATTTCAAAATAAATTGTTGTCATTGCCATTTATTCTCCTCTACAAGATGGCATAGCCAAATTTTCAATTCTTTCAACTTCCATCACCAACTTTATTTTTTCATATGGACGCTATATTGGAATTTTGTATATTTAAATGGACTTTTCAGTCCTAAATTTATTTATGAATTTTCAATGTTGGACATGAATTATAAAAATTATAAGAAAATAAAGAGGTTTGGTGAAACCTAAACACAAAATGCAATTTTTATTGATGGTAATAACAATAATGATCATAAATAAGGAGAGGTAAACCATAGTAAAATGTTGTCCGTTATTTTGTAGGCAAAGTCTGAGTCTTCTCTGTACATTGTTCACTGTTCGATTTATTTCCCTTCTTCTCGGTCTTCCAAACTCTGTTACTATGTTCAGTTTGAGGTCTGATCTGATATACAAAACATAATTTCAAGGCCTACCTACGAAACTCTGTCTTTCTGGAATAACTGATGTTTGGCGATGTCAATATATGAAATATTATACACTTTTGAATCATAATTAAAAACTCTATTCATCTGCGTAAAATCTAATATCGTGTCTTTAAGAAACAATAAGGTTGATACGGGAGGACAAGAGATGAAACGTCGTGGTGAAATTCCAATTATGCCATCTTGTAGAGCACAAAAAGTGACAATTTCATTTTGTAATTTATTTGGAAACCCCACTACAAATAAAGAAATGAAACATTAAAACGATTTTGGCAAATTTAGTTTTTTTCCGTCTCTCTTTAGATTTACTTTGAATTTAGAAACTTTCTAAGCGGTATTTTGTTAGTTACCTAAATACGCAGCTTTACCATCATTTAAGAGATTTCGTATCTTCTACCGCTTGGGCCGAATTTGAAACACCCCGTAAAGATCTGGATCGATATTCTTGTTCTCATGGGAACTTACCGATTATTTACAGACGGCAAGCGCAACCAAATACTTCATACCCTAGCCTAGTTGCGATGAGCTCGCGGAAAGTAATTTGCCCTATCGACAGCTTGGACTAGAATTGAATTAGTCTAGACGAGCAATAGAGTTACTTCATTACATAATACTGTAGCAGATTTATCATGCTATAAGTAAATATGTTTGAAAATGGACAAACTATTAAGGTTGTATGGTTTCAACTTGTGGCTTAAAATGCGGGACATAATAACAAGGTACTAAAACTGGAACATGAGTTAATGGGCTGAAAATGCAATGTACTGAAATGAAAAAATTTGAGAACTAACTTCGTATGTGCAGTCGTTTCAGTTCCTTTTTGAGCAACGGTCGTTGCAGATTTCAGTGGCATAAATAAGGAATGTATCACATATCGCATATATATGTAGCGCGTACTATGATTAGGTGATATTTCACAACAAACGATGGGAAGCTCAAGCCCTAATGGATACTTACGCCTAGTACACAATCAAAATCAATTATCTACGAACGGGCGATAAATTGTTCTTTGTGATTAGGCTTTTTGGACGTTAATTCTCAGTTTTCAACCCACGGACTCCACAGGCAGACATTGCATCGTATTCGTTGTTAGGGCGAGCCGCAAGTTCCGCTGACACGACCGTTCAATTTTTCTTCATATTTTTGCGCTTACCGACAGTTGTTGGTAATCGTTAAGTTCCGATGAGAACCAGAATAGTTCCCCAGGCCATCAATTATAACTCCCTAATTTTTATCCATACAGATCGTACAAACACCACCCTGCAGATGCAAGAATCGGACTCGCCCGCGCAGCGACGTCGTCGGATAGCTGACAAGTACAACCCCACATCGAACGTTTCCGGGTCGACAACCGTTGACGACTTCAACGCTGGCTCTACAGTTGACGCAACAACGGACGACCTCGAACACTGTAACGATCTGAGTAAGAGCAGTCGTTATTTCATGATGAAATCGTTGAACTTACAAGATGAGGCCAGCGCTAATATCATGGAAACTAATGCGTCCTTTCAGACCTCCACACCGTTTGGCGAGATATCATCCAGGTTAAGGACTAGGTGAGCTTTTGAAAATAATATGAAGATGCAACCAAATGCAGCAAAATTCAATAGCAAATTGCTTGAGTTTTTTTCTAAACTTGATAGTCTATGATAGTGCGAATCAATATTTCGTTCTTAACGCTCAAAGTAGGATTTTTACATGAAATATTTTATATCAAGGTTTGTGTTGCTTTTTTATTACAAACATACTGAGACCAAGACGATGTTAATCAATAGAATAATAAAAAAGTATTGCAAAAGACTGTTAAACATGTAGGTATTGTTTTTTGGATGTTACATTACATGTACAATATGAAATACCATGTCACTTATTTCTGTCGGTCTGTCTATCTGTCAGCAAATCCCTAACCACTCTACAGGGTGTTTGGAAGGTCGATACCGACCTTTCAACGATAAACCGACGTTTGTTGAATAAGAAAGAATAACTCCTTTGTTCTCGTTATTTTATCATTTATCTTTATGTATATATGACATATCTCTATAGAAATGGTTTCCAATTTATGGGAAAGTTAGGCAACAGTTTAATTTAAAATTATTGAAAAAACTGCCCCCACTTCCGCTCTTTCTTATGGTATGCGATACGAAGCGATACAACAATAATTTTTTCCTCAACCCAAAATATTGGATCAAGCAGAATGTCATCAAAATTACGAAAAAAAACAAGAACTCCATTTTTTGTGAAACACAGCACTTGATATTGGCAAAATTATTCATTCACTCGATAACAAAATTCAAAGTTTTATTTCTTGCGCATTTTCATGCCCTTGGTTCGTATATTCGTGTAGCAGTAGTCAGTTTACTAATAGTGATTTGATTTGACATTGCCATGTATTTTTTCTGACTATTCACTGAGAATATATGGCAAATTCAAAATATTGCAAAATGAACATTATTAGCACTTCAAGACACTGCAAAACTTCGGAGTAAACGATACGCCCCAAGTACAAAACCGTGGTACACGATGTTATAAAGAACGACTTGTTCGTTTCTAATACATGTTCGTTCACTTCTACTGTCGCCAGATCTAATTACTGCTTGATTTTCATGTGTAAACCTAGTCAACGGAACTGGTTTATACCACGAAATGACTTCCAAGAACACTTTATGTGCAAAATTTATCAATTATTTAAGAAAATCGAAATCAAGATCATTATAACCCACTACTTACAAAATAGAACAGACAATTAGGGAGAGAATGCACATGCACCAGAAATAATGTTTCACATCATTAGAATGAGCAAATAAGTAATTGTGCTACTTTCAAGTGCCTTATCAGGAGAAAAGGACATGACTGGTGTTTTATTTTCTGCATAAAAATAAATGGCGTATTGGGGTTTTGTACTTCTAGAGTGTGTCATTTGCTCTGAATTTTTGTCATGTTCTTGAAAATGTTAATTATGTGTATTATTATATTCCATGTTTATACGTACCTACCCAGTGAATGTTCAGAAAAGCTACACGGTACCGTGAAACTGAATCATTCCTAGTAAAGAGAGAGATAGAAAGTAAAAGAATCGAGTAGCTGAGAATATACAATAGAAAAGTAGGGTCCTTTAAATACTTAACTACCTACCAATATCTAGTTTGTATCACCTTGATTACTTACTATGATTATGAATAATAGCATTTCGTCCTATTTTTATGAACTAGTGTCTCCTTATTGTCCTGTACAAGTTTTACATTAGGATTCTACGACTAACAAGGACCCCAGTTTCATTCTTAACTAGAATTGTATCCCCTTTTTTATAAGCTATAGGATTAGCTGTCTTGTCATAAGTGACTTTCTGACCTGTTTCCGTTTTATTAAATTTGTCCTTGCGTCATCCTAAGCTTATTGTAATCTTTATTTCAGCTCAAGTTGATAGTTTTCGAAATTATATATTTGCTCTACAGTGCTCGGAATTTGGCATTTTCTACCAAAAACAAGTTCAAATGTAGTATATTTAGTTTCTGTATGCACAGTGGCATTATACGGGAAACACCAGTAGGGTATCCAAGTGCTCCAAGTTGAATAATTATTACCTGCTTGGGCACTAGGATATGCGCCTAACACTTTGTGTGAGATCTGCAATGCGCCTAGACTTTCGCGGTGATATACAGTAGATGTAACGTGTTTCACTTTTAGCAGTGAAGCGACTTCTGTCATGGTAGAAGAAATGAATTCAGTACCTCTGTCATTAGCAACCTATAGAGGAATACCATATCTTAAAATGAAATATTCAACAAAGCATCTTGCTACTGTTATTGCATCTTTAGATTTTATTGGATATGCTTCGACAAATTTAGTCAACTCACACTGGGGATCAATATATAAGAAAAAGCATACGAATCTGTGGGTAGTGGACCAACTAGGACTAAGTATAATTTTTGGAGGGCATAGCTCGCTGTTGAAATAATTACCATCTACCAACTATCGCAATTTTTTATAAATTTCCGAATATCTGTGTCAGTACCTGACAAATAATAACATAGTTAATTATTTACCATTCTATTAACGCCTGCGTATCTACTTGTCGGAAGTAAATGAAAGTCACTCCAGATTATCCTTCTTTCATCCTCGTCGACAATTTTTCTCTTAACACGTTCACGCTAGGCAGCAGCGGTGGCCGCAGTAGTAGACTCCTCGGCCTGCTGATCAGTCGCCGTGCGCTGTGCGGGTTCGAATCCCGTCCCAAGTGAAAGTTTTCTCTTGGCAATGGATGTTGTGATTGTCCGTACGTGGTAGACGGTCTTGACTGTCGAACGCACAGGTACCACCCGGCGGATCTCGTAGGCGGGTCCAGAATATGTGCATGTTGCATGCGCACGTGTTCCCTCGCCAGAGCCCGTGTGGCGTTCCCACTTTCCCCTGTATCCCCCTATAGCCCCACGGTACCCCATGGGTGTTTAGGCCTTAGGCCTTCGTGGAAGTCGGAATATATAAAAAAAAACAAAAAAACTGCCACGTTTGTCGTATAGAACCAACACTCATGTTGCCTCAGCAGACCACATTGGTCCAATAGGGCCAACATATATTTTGCCTTACCAGGCTGTGTTGGTCCCATGAGGTCAACGTATTTTCTAACAGCTGCTGGGCCGTTGGCGCTCATTTACCTATGTACGCCTGAAGAAATGGACCAACATGGCCTAGAAGCTATACGCCGCACATATAATTTCTTAGATTTTTCCATAATGAGGAATGTGGCCCCGATGCGACCAACGTCTTTTTTATATGGTGGCCCACTAGTGCTCAATGTAAAATATATGTTTGGCGTAGTGGACACATGTTAAAAAATATGTCTGGCAGCGAACGTGTTAATAACCATTTTATTATGCTAGCATTATATTTATCTTTAAAAATTACCAGTTCGCTAATATTTGGTTTACTTCAGATGTATCATGCGAAGGTACGTACGTAATATAACTCTCCCGACTGTATATACTTCCCTTAGTCGCTTCTTTCTAACGGCGATGTTGTTAGTTTTTTGAGGACTTTTACTAGATTAGGTTGATCAGACCCAATACATATTGGTAGTATCCTCGCCAAGATTTTGCCTTGTATTAGATTATGTAAATATTTAGAAATAAGAATGTTCACTGATATTAAGAAGAAGAAGAAAAAAAGATCGGAGCAACATTAAGCATCAGGTGCTACATTTTTAACTTGACCTACATTTTTGTTTGTGGCATTAACATGATATAGGGTTTCGGATTGCATCGCGACTATGTAAATGAATTCGGAAATCGCTTTGTAACGCGACGTTTGTCTAAACATTGATATAGTTTTTAAATCCGTTTCTAGTCATGCATAATTTATAACAGCAAATGACCGATTCCCTTTGTTAATTGTTCCTCTGGTACTTCCCATCGTTATCGTAGGTAAAAATTCAAAATCGCATTTGGATTCAATGAAGTCATGTCTACAGTCTCCTTAGTCATCAAAAAAATCTAATGAGCTGGTTAAGTGACACTCAAAATTATGTATCAACTTTTAAAATCAAATTATACATATATTTTCAAACATGTTCTCAACTTTTAACAATAAAACTAAGTTGTACCTGTTTTTCGAGTTGAGCGGAAATGATAAACTTACAAATACTTGACATATTGGTACTTACAGTAATGGATATACATATCATTTATAAATCCGTTTGTATGATTTTCCAACATAAATCTTACTCACTGTTCAAGTGTTCATCCACACGCATTCAGTACCACTGTTAAAAACCTAAGAAAGAATTCACTGCTCTTGATCCTCAACACCGTCAAAACTTAATCTTTCCCATTAAGTAGTAATCATGTACATTTCCGCCATCATTTTTTCTTTCATCATTAGCTTCTCTTACTGATTTCCACAGAATACTGGGCAAAAGATATATCCATATTGAAAGTAGTAACTTCTGAGGAAATATAGTGAAATTCCTTTTCGCGGACACCCCTCTTACACGGACAGTTCCTCATGGTCCCAACCGACTCTCATATAATTTGCATTGTATTAACTCTCTTTTGGACCGACATTCTCTTGAACGACCCGGACACGAGAAAATGTTATCTGTCTTATTTTTGTCTGCTAAGAGTATCGCTATTGCATTTCTCAATCGTGCCGCGCACCATCTTCGCTGGGACTTTCTCGAGTGAACCGGGGATTCACCAACTTCAATCTTTCTGTACAAACGCAGCCTATGTGGTGCGTGAATTAAGGACTTCCCCGAGTTGGTCTGGGATTTACCGTTCTTATTCTTTAGGTTTCTTTCGATTAAATTTCCACGTAATGTCTGACGTCTATGCTGAAAAGACTCAGTGGGCGACACATTCATTGTAGAAGGTGAAGAATAAAAACACAAGCTGCAGATATAATTAAACATAAAGAAATCCTTCTAAAGAAATGGATGTCGAACAGCAATTTGAATGAAACAAAAAGCTTTTTGACGGGTGATGGTACCATAATTGACAAATTGTGTTATGACTGGTTTATAGCAGCTCATCAAAATGTGTTGATTTTCTTTACATATCAATTC